TTCTCTGGCTGTTTCATAGAATTGGGATAAGAGTTTGTCCTCCCAGGTCGCCGGGGTGATGTCGATGTCTCCCAGTTTCTTGTTCGCGAGGAAGGAGGAGTCAATGAAGCGACATTTTTGATAAAGTCTATCGAGGAGCTTGTTCCGCTCATCTGATCCATGGACTAACCTGAGGCCAAGAGCCACCAAAATTACAAGTCTGAGCGAGCACGATTGCCACTGAGCAAGCACGTATAGGCGTAGCCAAGCCACTCGGACAGCTCACGGAGCCTGTCCCCCAGCCATTGGGCACCAGCCATAGATTCGGCTCGTCCTGGGATGCGGATTCATGCTTGCTGGATTTTTTGGGCTGTTGGGTCCGCTCGTGCCGTCACCGTGCGACACGTTGCGGGCAAAAAAAAGTTTACGAGCACGCTCTCCCTTTAGACCGCTGTTTTGGGCAAGCACGCACTAAAACGAAGGATGCCTCAAGGAATGTGCCTTTAGGGGCCAGGGCCCGGGTCTAAAATAAAATGGTGCCCGTAAACTTTTTTGTGCCGGCACCGTGCGAACACTTGCGTGTGCGTGCGTGGTCGCGTTTTTTGAGCGAGCACGCGTCTATTGAGGAAGCACGTACCCTGGGAGACAGCACGTATTGTCGAGCGAGCACGCATAATTGCGAGAACGGCCCCTATGTTTGAGTGTCTTATCAAAAGCCTTTAAAACCCCTTCTAAAATAGCCGGGAACCAGGCATCCCCTTCTAGTCTCTCTTTAAGACCAGTCGGCGGATTGTCGAAATCCAGAACCGAGCCCGGATCGAGCCCGCGTGGCCGAGCCCCCTGGGAACCCTTAGACGGTCACCTTGCCCCTAAAAACCCCGGCCCACTATTCCGACCCCCTGACTTGTCGTCTCTGTGCAGCCTAGGATCTCTGGATGGATCGGCTGCGAACCACCAGGACCAGGAGCTCGAATGCAAAGCGGCTGAAACTAAAGTAAACTAAATTTGGTGGCGGCTTTCCTTTGCAATTCGGGCTCGTTCTGCGTAGGGCTAAAGACTCCAGGTAATGGGGTTATGTTGACTCAGTTATTATTACAATCTCTTGTGTAGTTGGTCTGGGTCCAGCACTAGGACGGAGTATAATAATTCCATTTGGGTTGGTCTCTTAGTACTTTGATTTACTTTGGCGACTAAAACATTATTGATACTAGCATCTTGACTGTAGTTACACTGTAGTTGGTATGTTTTGGACTCAGTGGGAATAGCGAGTTTGGTCTGCTTTGCATGGAGTCGGATATAGGATATGCCACTAGACTAGTCGGGGCTTCTTCACAGTGCTCCTGCTCTAGTCTAATGTATTTCAAAAATATACTTAGGATGCTCAGTGTTCCTCTGATTTTGGGTTTAAGTTTAGGGTTTAGTATTTAGTGGCTTTTCCATCAGACAGACTTGAAGGCCCTGCTTCACATGTGTCATGGATCCATGGGCAGCCAGCCAAAGCCTGCAACACAACGGATTCCCAAGTCAGTGCTTCAAGCCCATGGGAAAGCAACTCTTGCTGCGATTCGGTGGCAACACAGGACCCGAGACTAGAACTAGCAGTTGGATCAGTTTTGGCTGCCCGCATCCACACGAGCTTCGGTCTAGCAAGGCACGGACCTCAAAATCGAAGACAGAAGCCTCCTGCTTTGCGAAAATTGAGTATTGCATGTCCAGGAGCAGAGTTAGGACCCTTGACTCCTACCCGTGCCTAGATTCAAACAATACTTTACCAAAAATAGTCATGACAACAAACCACTATTTATTTACCTTTTTAAACCCTACTAACTATGACAAGAAACCTCCCAAAGACACCCAGGAAAGTTAGTATCCTCAGCTAGAAGCCTAGCTATTGCTAATATTTCTCCGAAAAGAATTCAGACTGGAATGGGACAGCCCTGGCTGATTAACTATTATTATTATTATTCGTCATTAGTAACTATTAAATAACCACTGTAAGCAAGTAAGAACCTCCTTCACCCCAGACCGTCTAGCATAGCTAGTGTGTAACCCAGGAGGCATCGTCATCTCCGAGGCCTTTCGTTCAGCCTACTAATTCTCGAAAGCCCCCTAACAAGCCTCAGCCCTCGGATCCAACTCTTGTCCTGCTCAGCCAGTCGTGGGCGGAGCTCCTGTCGGCCTGCGGCTTGGGGTCACGAAGGCCTGGCACAGGGATCGAAAGCTCGAGTAACTCCAAAAACAACAGCAACGAAGATCAAAGCTGACAACACGTAGCCTCCCCGCTTGCAACCCGCTGGGCCCATGGGTCCAACTCGGCTTTGGCTTTGATGGAGAGCTTGTTGTAATAAACCTTGCCCGGGCCGAGGCTGGCCGATACTGTACCTTTGCTCCGGAACGGTAGGAGAGCATGCTATAATGAAGCTGCCTAACACGAACCATTCTTCAGGCAAGAGGCTTCCTGGCAGGTTCGACACAACAAGTTTTACATCATCCACCCGTAGCAGCCCCTCGCAGTGGAGAAGCCGCACCCAGTTTCCCAAGTCGGACCTCGGATGTGCAAAACCGGGGGTTTCAAGGGTTTCAAGGGCTTCGGTAAGCACCCGAACACGAAAGCAGCAACTGTATACGTGCAACAGGATGGCTCCGTGAGGTCTTTGGGGATGCAGTTGGAAAGGTCTTGGTCCAGCTTGTCCATGATCACCTGGGCCTTTGTCGGGATGGCCTTTGCCTTGTCCTCACCACCTTTGCTTTTCTTCTCCACAGCCAACCCTTCCGCGAAGACGTCATTGTCCTCGTCGCTCTCCTGCAGGAAGGCCTCAACCTCTTCTGAGTTGGCCGTGTCATCGAGGTCCTCAAACTCGCTGCCCGGGGGGCTCGGCACATCTGCCTCGCCCAAGAACTCACCATCGCCCTCGCCTTTGGTCTTGCTCTCATCACACTCCTCTCGTTCCTCCTCCTCCTCGTCCTGCGGCGGGTCTTTGTCCCGGATGGCCGGGAACTTGCTCCTCTTGCTCACCGTCGGCTTCACAACACGGCCGCGTGAGGGCTCCTCCTCCTCAGCGGGCTTTTTTCTCTTGCTTGGCTTTGGCGGAGGCAACGGCTTCCTACCGCTGCCCGAGCTCTGCTGGCTGAGCTGCTGCTTGAGATCCTGTGTGGCTGCCTCGGCAACTCAAAATGCAAGCATTTGTGCTGTTTAATTAAGGCAGGCGAAACTATGTGCCGGTAGTAGCCAGTGGCAGCAAGTGTGAGTTGATGCAAATTTCTATGAGTGAGAGTCACCAACAGCTGTCGTCATGAAAAGTTGGCTGAACCCTGTAACCAATCCGCCAAGCCCCACACCCGAAACCCTTGGACAAGCCTCACGGTGCTTGTTCAGGATCGCCGTCAACTTCTTCTGCATCGCCTCTTTTCCATCGTCGCTCCTCCTGTTGGGGTGCTGGGAATTTTGATTAGCTGACAATTGACACGGCCCAAACCAACTAATGATGTAAGGTAGGAACTGCAAAAATACACGTGCCCGGCGGTGCCTCAAATTCTTGCGATACAGAAGCCGCAGCACAGCCGAGCAGTCAGTCAAGGTTTTGGCATTGCCGATGGAGATGTTCCCCGGAGCTCGCCCCGTGACTCAGCTGAAGTTGTTCGTGCTAGGACAAACACCGGCACAGAAGAATTTCTCTCTGAATTCGGAGTCGTTGCTAGGGTGTGCCGGGCATTGGGTGGGCTCGTGGTTTCTTTACTTAATTTACTTCACAGACCTAGCAGGTAAGAGACAGCTAGGCTAGGATAGGTTTAGTTCATTCGGCCTGACTAAATGTGTCGTCTACTCTAGTCTAGGTTGCTCCTGCGGACCACCAGAGCACTCGTAGTTTCTAATTGTTAATATAATAGCGAGAAACAACACTCTAGATAAACACACTCCACTATCCAAGAGTAGCTCCTGGTTACCAAGGACAGTAATTATTCGCCCCCACAGCACTCGAATCCAAGCAGCCCCGGGCTAGTGGGTTTAGATTACATCAGTATTTGTCAGAATCGTGAAGCAATTGTAAAACCCCAATAATAAGAAGCCTGGCCCTCACCCCCCGAACGAGAAATCCTATCTAAATCATCCCTGTCAAGCCACGAGCAACGACGAGGTCTGTCATCCTCTTCGCCCATATGGTCGATGCCGTGCGACCCTGGAGACAGACGAGAATCTTCATGGGTGTGATTAAGTATAATAAAACATACAGGGGTCGGTCGAGGGGTCTTGGGGTTTTAGGGCTTTTAGGTCTGAGGCCAGGCCTGGGTTCAGTTTTCGGTTTTGAAGGATGTTGGGGTCGGGGAGTCTTTTGTCTAGGGTTTAGGGTCTAGGGTTTTAGGTTTAGGTTTTATTTATATAGTCAAGTAAGTTACTAAGGGTTTAGGCTTAGGGTCTAGGGTTTTAGGGTTTTAGGGTCTAGGGTTTAGGGTTTCTTTCTTTATTTATTATTATGATTATAGGCTAGGGAGCAACCGGACTCGGCCCGTTTGTCGAGTGCAACATTTTCTCCTTTTCCTTTATACAATGCAACATAATAACATGGGGCCCTCGCGCTGTGATCCACGTGGCAAACAAAAATACTCCAGAAGCAGAAGGAAGCCCCGAAACAATTTAATTTCTGCCCCCCCCCCATCCCAGGTTAAGCTTCGGACTACGGCTGGATTTCCGTGCGAGCCTCGAAAGCATACCTTTCTTTTTCTTCCTTCTGGCGTAGCTTCTGGGCCCTCTTCTCGCGGTTGCCAAGTAGGGTTTCCTGGGAACAGGTGACACGATAAGCCAGGGAAGTGTTAGGGCAGGGTTGTGTGGATTGATTATTGTCAGTCACAGGAAGTCTGGAAAAAACTCATTATTTAATTGTATGACATAATGATATAGTCTGATATAGTTTCTGCAACTGCCAGGAAACCCAACAAGACCCCACAAGCCTAAGACTCAGAAGTAATGATATTCCTAGGTAGACACATTGCTAGGTTCAGTTGGCTAAGTAGGGGTACAAAAGGCAGGGAAGTGCACACACACACACACACCCACACACACCAAGTATGCACAGACAACCACTTTCGCGTCATCGTTACGAATCAAGTACTGAAGTAAACTTAATTTAATTCACAAAAGCAGTAGAAGTGCTAGTCCTCAAGTGAAACCAGATTGAGTCCAAGCCTCGAGTTCCCCACCGCACTCATACACGTCTGTTGCCCCCAACATCTCCGTCACGTGGGACACAACGAAACCCAGCTGCTTGGACGGGAAGTCGTCCAGCCTGCATGCCTCCTCGGGCTTTGCCATCTCCTTCCTTGCCAAACCAAACAAAGCAGCGGAGTCATCAAAGTCCTCAGAGTCCAAACAGGAGCTGGACTCCTCTTCGCCCTGGGACGATGAGCTGCTGCCTCCGATCATGCACTGAGACAAGCACCGAGCCTTGCTGCATTCATTGGATCTGCGACTGTGTTCTTTTAATTTATGCAGAAGAGATGCTGTTCTTTTTTTTCTTCTTCTTGCTCTTGTCCCTCTTCTTGGGCTCCTTCTCCTTCTTAACCTCCTTCTTTTTTTTCTTCTCTTTCGCCGCACTCTTCTTCTCGCTGTGGACCGCACTGCCTGAGATTGCGTTGCACGGGTGTTGAGCAAGCTTAAGACGGACACACTGTCGAAAGCCGCAAGCATAAACTCTATCCCAGGCTCTGCCACCTCCCAAAGCTTCATCAAGCGATCTCCGGGCCGTGCTCATGAGGAAGTGGCGTGCCGACGGCTCCTCCTCAGCGTGCTCACCGGTCGATCCGGCCAAGCTTCTGGTGGAATTCGTCCTGCAGAAGAGACACAGGACAATCATCAGTCGGTCGAATATCAATTTGACTACAGGTCGTGTAATAGCGGTGTCCTGGTAACCGGCGGCTTGTTCAGCTTCACCATCGCTCCAGGATTGCTCAAATTTATCTAATTAAATCTGCAATCCTTTGAGAAGGCATCTTAGGCAGTCAGGGCAGAAGCTTGAGTTGAACCCCAAACAACACGTCGCGTGTGTGTGCGTGTGTGTGTGTGTGGCTGTAGCATGAAGTGCGGCGTGCATTGCATGCTTCTCTGTGCCCGAAAACTGCAGAAGTCGCCAAACTATCAGTGCCACAAGCAGTCTTCATGAGAGCATGTGACAAAACCGTGCAAGCTGCTGCAAGCGATCTCCTGATGCAAGGCACTCAATCATTCCATTGTTTTTGATCCCGTCAATGCGTCCCCAGCCAGGATCTACGGCAAGCACTCGGGGCAAAGTCGGCTTCAGCTGGCTTCGATTGAGCTGGGAGAGCACTGGCTGGGTCGGTGCAGGTAATCGGAAGCTTTAGGGTGGTGGGTTTTGACTAATTACTAATTTATTAAATATCAATGTATACATGAATAAGGAGGACCCCCTAAGCCTAAGCCCTAGTCTGAGACAAAAGTCGCTACTCGTCTAAACCTAAATAATGGTAGGTCTATTATTGTTATTTGACCCACTAACCAAGACTAACTAACTACCCTGGAACCCGACCCTATTGCCCCGAGTCGCAGCGAATCGCCAGGCTCAAAATGCAAGGTTGCCAAGCCAGGACCATCTTGCCTAAGATATGTTGATAAGGAATCGTCAGACAATACTCGACACAGCCGCGTGCATGCAATGTTCAAGCCAAGTCTCAAGTGCAGAAGATCATCAGCCGGGAGCAAAACGGATACGGCCCATGTGTGCTTTGTGTTGGCCTGTGTGCGTGTGAGCGTGTGCGAAAGTGTTTGTATGAGGGGGAAGAGAACAAGTGTGTGTATGTGTGGGGGTGGGCGGGTGTGAGTGTGTGTGTGTGTGTGCTTTGCCTTTGCGTGCTTTGTGTGTGTGTGTG